AAAGTAAATTACGACGCTTCACTGAAAAGCAATCAACATGACACCACCTGTCTGTCCGGTGTTTTTCAACCGTCGCTGTTGCTTTTCAGCTGACAAGAGATTGTCGAGGACCCCCCGCAGGACCCAGCAGCCGAAGACCCTCAACACGCCGGAGGACTCCACCTATTACACCCTGATTCATGTGAGTGAGATGGTGAATGATTTCAGATACTTGTGACACTGTAACTGCTCCCCCCCCCTCCCCCTCCCCCACCTATTGGCTTTCACAATGCACTATTGATGGCAATTTTTTTCTCTCTCTCTCTTCGCTGTAGTACACTTTACTGCGTACAGTACGGTATGGTTCAAAAGCAAGAAAATAAAATAGTCTGGAAAAGTGTTCTCCGGAGTTTCTTCATTATATTTGACAAGTAATTTTCTAAAGACAGTTTCTTTTTATTCATTGTTCTCCAAATGTGATTACTTGAAATGTCCATGATTTCAGTGAACAGTAGCTCCTTCGCAGCACTCGAGAGTTTGTTTATAATGCTGCCGCCATTTCTGTTTAGATGACCAAGGCATATATTGTAGACGTGACGTAAATCTAATCAATAATTTAATCAATGAATAATGAGCACTGGCAAACTTTTTAAGAAAAGCAATAATTGTGCGACGCCAAAAGAACTTAAAGTAGTTTCAAAACGTGATCGAAAAGAACTTGATTCCTTTCTTATCAAATTGATCGCATCTATTGGAGAGAAATTGATTTAAATCGTCTTCTTAAACGGTGGTTCCCAACATGGGGGTCACAAGAGGGAACCTCTGTTCTAAAACCACCTTTGTTCTTCACCTAACACAGAGATTGATTGGTATAGTGTTTGTTTGACCTGTAGTAACCTCTCCCCCCCCGTGTCTGTGCACTCAGCGGTCCGTCCAGGACGACAAACGCAAGCCCAGGAAAGAGGGGTAAGTCTCCGCTCCTTATTCCAGCCTAATTTTAACAACCTGTCACGACTTTTTTAAGAGGGCTGGCCCGCTGCTGCCGGTCCGAGTTAGATAATGACTGCAGGACGGTGCCAACATAAGGACAATGTCGGGTGCAACTTAACGACGTGCAGCATTACACACATCCTCTGACAGATTAATTAGCCTCATCTTTCACCTCGGATACATTCGCTGAATATGCCCAATGAAATTTAATGCTTTGTATGGTGTGTTCTGTGAGGATTGTATGATTTACACAGTTGTTAAAATGATGTTTCGCACATATTGCTAAATTTACCTGCAGCGTGTGACTTGGAAGTGTGTGTGGATGTGTTGTATTCATGCATATGTATGAGCCGTATAGGCCACAAGGTGAGAATCCCGCCCAGAGTGGGGGTGAAGATAGACCGATAGGCGTTGGCTGAACAACCAGGGCAGGGTACTTCATCACAGCAGTCTGAGAGGACACACACACACACCTTGACACACACACAGTCCAACACTGCTCCAAACATCAAGGGTAATAATTTGTTAGCAGATAAATAAGGCCAGCGATGGACAGGAGCATTTACATGCATCATTAAGGATTGAGAAGGTCAGCGGGAAAGATAGCATCTGTGGCTGAAGCTGACAGCGGAGGAGGAGGACGGGAGATGGGGAATCGCGGGTGGTAAAAGGAGCGAGAACCACAGAGAAGAAGAGTAATGACAGTAAATGGGAGTGAAGACATAACGAAGGAGAAACGGGGGGGGAACAGCGGTTTGCGTGTGCCACAGATATCGAAAATTTTAGTGCAGTATCAGAAGTGATGATCATTACACGTCTGTTTTTGTTACAATAGGTGATTCAGCTCATGAAGCCATTTATATTTGCCATTCAAAGCGCAGCGAGTTAAAGTCGTTCTGACGAAAGGAAGCGATGGTCTTTTTATGTTCCAGTGGCAGCTAACAGCAGTTTGATGGAAATAAACAGGGGAAGAAATGGGTAGTTAGCAGGGGCAGTGAACCGGGGGTGAACCGCCTGCAGAACCGACCCTGTTTCAGCCACTGAGCTGGGCTGAACCGGGTTCCCTGGGTGACTGAACCGCCGTTAAACAGACGGGGGAAGAAATAGTGGACGACAGCAGATTACAAAAATGAAAAAATACAGAAACAAGACTAAAGCTGTGTCCCAAATATATTACGACATACTACAGTACGGTCCACAACAGCTGTGGCCCAGCAGATAGAGCGGGTCGTCCAATAATCAGAAGGTCGGGGTTTAATTCCCGGCTCCCTCCAGTCCGCATATCGAAGTGTCCTGACCCCGGTATTGCCCCCGATGTATCATCCATTTTAAATTCTAATCATCATAGTTTACTCTTTTAACAATTAGACTTCCTACTGTTACTCATTAAGATTAGATTCTCTACAAGGACATTAATATCTGGCACTAGAGGAAGAGTCAAAGCCAGTCGGATTCATCCTCTGGAAACCATTGTGTTTTATTTATATAGCACCATCATGATAAAAGATAATAACAACAAAGAAAATGCACAAGATTAAAAAGATGTCACGTATGTGATTTCTCCGGTGAGCTGCAGCAGGAAGTGATGTTTGAAGCCCTGGTTTAAAATGAGCAGGAGCTGGTTCCACAGTTAAGAACGCGATCCATCTGATCGTTAAGAGGTTTCAGTCCCGGACAAGAGTGATGGACTGACTGAGCTTTGCACTCAGCGCGCTGGCCTGCTGCCCGAGGCAGCCGCACAAATGACCACAAGCTGGCTCCTTCAGCAAGATGGAAAAACACTGACCTGCTGTTGGATGCGGGTGTGTCATATGTTGGCCTAACCTTCTTTAACCGTCACGTCGTCTTATTTAGGCGCTCAGGTTTCTGCAGAGATCATCACCAACCTCACTTAGAGCTGAGGCGCGATGGACGGAGGGTTTGAACCAAACAGAGAGTCGAAAGACGACGGCTTGTTTGTTTCGTCTCAAAGCTGAAAAGGGACAAAACATGTCTTGAAAATTTAGGAAAAATCAGCCCTTGTGCGTCCTGACGGCCAAAGGGTTAAAAGGCGCCGACTGTGTGTCGCAACTTCCAAAAAATGTCCCTTACTGGGGTAATAAAATGTAGAGCTACTGTTTAGTGGCATCATTGCTTATACCTGAAACATAAAATACAATAATATCATTATGTATTTATGTAATGAAAGTTAAAACAAACATCTGAATTAGACAATACAACAATATATCATCAACCCCCCTGTGATAATATCACATATCTGCTAAATCTTCATACAGATGTCCAAAAACCCACCTTTAATTGACATTTGCAATTGCATTTTCACACCTCTCGAAAGGCATTCTGGGTAAATGTAGGAAATAAGACAATGCAAGTTGAAGGGGGGGAAATGTGTCGCCAAAAAAAAAAAAAGTAAATTACGACGCTTCACTGAAAAGCAATCAACATGACACCACCTGTCTGTCCGGTGTTTTCAACCGTCGCCGTTGCTTTTCAGCTGACAAGAGATTGTCGAGGACCCCCCGCAGGACCCAGCAGCCGAAGACCCTCAACACGCCGGAGGACTCCACCTATTACACCCTGATTCATGTGAGTGAGATGGTGAATGATTTCAGATACTTGTGACACTGTAACTGCTCCCCCCCCCTCCCCCTCCCCCACCTATTGGCTTTCACAATGCACTATTGATTGGCAATTTTTTTCTCTCTCTCTCTTCCTGTAGTACACTTTACTGCGTACAGTACGGTATGGTTCAAAAGCAAGAAATAAAATAGTCTGGAAAAGTGTTCTCCGGAGTTTCTTCATTATATTTGACAAGTAATTTTCTAAAGACAGTTTCTTTTTATTCATTGTTCTCCAAATGTGATTACTTGAAATGTCCCATGATTTCAGTGAACAGTAGCTCTCTTCGCAGCACTCGAGGTTTGTTTATAATGCTGCCGCCATTTCTGTTTAGATGACCAAGGCATATATTGTAGACGTGTCGTATCTAATCAATAATTTAATCAATGAATAATGAGCACTGGCAAACTTTTTAGAAAAGCAATAATTGTGCGACGCCAAAAGAACTTAAAGTAGTTTCAAAACGTGATCGAAAAGAACTTGATTCCTTTCTTATCAAATTGATCGCATCTATTGGAGAGAAATTGATTTAAATCGTCTTCTTAAACGGTGGTTCCCAACATGGGGGTCACAAGAGGGAACCTCTGTTCTAAAACCACCTTTTGTTCTTCACCTGAACACAGAGATTGATTGGTATAGTGTTTGTTTGACCTGTAGTAACCTCTCCCCCCCCGTGTCTGTGCACTCAGCGGTCCGTCCAGGACGACAAACGCAAGCCCAGGAAAGAGGGGTAAGTCTCCGCTCCTTATTCCAGCCTAATTTTAACAACCTGTCACGACTTTTTTAAGAGGCTGGCCCGCTGCCTGCCGGTCCAGAGTAATGACTGCAGGACGGTGCCAACATAAGGACAATGTCGGGGGTGCAAACTTAACGACGTGCAGCATTACACACATCCTCTGCGAAATTAATTAGCCTCATCTTTCACCTCGGATACATTCGCTGAATATGCCCAATGAAATTTAATGCTTTGTATGGTGGTGTTCTGTGAGGGATTGTATGATTTACACAGTTTTAAAATGATGTTTCGCACATATTGCTAAATTTACCTGCAGCGTGTGACTTGGAAGTGTGTGTGGATGTGTTGTATTCATGCATATGTATGAGCCGTATAGGCCACAAGGTGAGAATCCCGCCCAGAGTGAGGGGGTGAAGATAGACCGATAGGGTTGGCTGAACAACCAGGGGCCAGGGTACTTCATCACAGCAGTCTGAGGAGACACACACACACACCTTGACACACACACAGTCCAACACTGCTCCAAACATCAAGGGTAATAATTTGTTAGCAGATAAATAAGGCCAGCGATGGACAGGAGCAGTTTACATGCATCATTAAGGATGAGAAGGTCAGCGGGAAAGATAGCATCTGTGGCTGAAGCTGACAGCGGAGGAGGAGGACGGGAGATGGGGGAATCGCGGGTGGTAAAAGGAGCGAGAACCGCAGAGAAGACGGAGGTAATGACAGTAAATGGGAGTGAAGACATACAGAAGGAGAAACGGGGGGGGGAACAGCGGTTTGCGTGTGCCACAGATATCGAAAATTTTAGTGCCAGTATCAGAAGTGATGATCATTACACGTCTGTTTTTGTTACAATAGTGATTCAGCTCATGAAGCCGTTTATATTTGCCATTCAAAGCGCAGCGAGTTAAAGTCGTTCTGACGAAAGGAAGCGATGGTCTTTTATGTTTCCAGTGGCAGCTACAGCAGTTTGATGGAAATAAACAGGGGAAGAAATGGGTAGTTAGCAGGGGCAGTGAACCGGGGGTGAACCCGCCTGCAGAACCGACCCTGTTTCAGCCACTGAGTCGGGGCTGAACCGGGTTCCCTGGGTGACTGAACCGCCGTTAAACAGACGGGGGAAGAAATAGTGGACGACAGCAGATTACAAAAATGAAAAATACAGAAACAAGACTAAAGCTGCGTCCCAAATATATACGACATACTACAGTACGGTCCACAACAGCTGTGGCCCAGCAGATAGAGCGGGTCGTCCAATAATCAGAAGGTCGGGGGTTTAATTCCCGGCTCCCTCCAGTCCGCATATCGAAGTGTCCTGAACCCCGTATTGCCCCCGATGTATCATCCATTTTAAATTCTAATCATCATAGTTTACTCTTTTAACAATTAGACTTCCTACTGTTACTCATTAAGATTAGATTCTCTACAAGGACATTAATATCTGGCACTAGAGGAAGAGTCAAAGCCAGTCGGATTCATCCTCTGGAAACCATTGTGTTTTATTTATATAGCACCATCATGATGAAAGATAATAACAACAAAGAAATGCACAAGATTAAAAAGATGTCACGTATGTGATTTCTCGGTGAGCTGCAGCAGGAAGTGATGTTTGAAGCCCTGGTTTAAATGAGCAGGAGCTGGTTCCACAGTTAAGACGCGATCCATCTGATCGTTAAGAGGTTTCAGTCCGGACCAGAGGTGATGGACCGACTGGCTTTGCCAACCTTACAGCCGTGGCTGCAAATGTGCACTGATTGAGAAATAACCTCTGATCCAGTATTGATCCAGCTCTGTGTATAAAACAGCTGATAGAAAGTCTGTTATTCGAGCCAATGTCATCACTGTGTCAGTGACATAATTCAGCCGGTGCCCCAGAGAACGGGGCGATAATTACAATCAAGGAGAAATGCTCAGAGTGGCACATTCATCATGATTCATCAGCGGGATGAGTGTGTGTCTGAGGTCAGGTCAGGCCTCGCACTCATCCCAGTGCTGCTGCGAGGTCATCAGTTTACGGGACGGCGTTGACGCCTCTGATGCTGCGGCGCTGCACTCGTAAAGACTCTGATTTCCAATAGCAGTTCTCACCATGTCAGAATGTGTGAGACTCATTGATCTCCACGTGGAAATGATTGTTTTTTTTCTCACTCCTGTTCATATGGAGGTCAGAGCGCAGGTTCGGCTTCGTAACAGCTCCCCTGGAGCGGACGGACGATTTATACAGTCTGGTGGGCAGATGCTTGGAGACTGAGGGTTTGACATTTATCCTCTTTTCTTCCTGTCCTCCGGGACGTGTCACTACACTGTTGGTACGTTAATTGTCAAGTAGAGGAACTGGACAAACGAAGTGTCTGGGAATAAAGTCGTGTCACGACATTGATATGAATACATGAGTCCAAAAAAGCCCTTATCCTCTTAATGAAATGATAGTTTTCAATATCAGTGCGATCCATCCTTTTGAGGAGGTTAAATCAACTAAAAAGATCGCTGTCACTTGGGGAAAATGTACTGACTGTAAACTATGAGGTGGAAGTTGAGGGTTTTCTAGCTGCTGCTGCTGCTGCAAGACCTGTAAATATTAAAAACACAAGCTACCTGCTGCAGAGAGCACGAGGGACCTCAAACACACAGCTGGATACAGGCCTGACCGTGGATGAACTCTTACAAAAGTTGTTAGAGATTGAACATGTGCACGCCCCCCCCCTCCTCCCGACATCCAGCCATCCCCTCTGTTTGTGCTTCAGTCCAGGGAAGCTGCTGGACGTAGACGACCAGTACTACGGGGGCCTGTCCACCAGCATGTCCGAACCCTCCATGCCCACAGAGGAGCCGTCACGACAGAGGAGCATGCCCGAGAGGAGGGGCTCTTTGGAGAGGAGGCGGTCCACGGACAGGAGGCGGTCCATGGGCAGGAGACGGTCCATGGACCGGAGGCAGTCTGGCGACCAGAGACTAGCTGCTGGCGGTAGACAGACCAGAGAGAGGGCCGTCACGGATCCAGAGCGTCCCAAACCCCCCGCCGACGACAGGTACATCATGTCCAGGATCGTCCAGTCAGAGCAATGATGTAACGATTTTTATGACTCGGCGCCGGCGACAGTCAGAGCCGGAGGCATATTTGTTTTCCGGTTGTCTGTCCCATTCTCGTGGACATGATATCTCAGTAACGCCTTGACAGAACTTCTTCAAATTTAGCACAAACATTCACTCGGACTCAAGGACGAACTGATTGGATTCTTTTTAGCCAAAAACTCAAGACTTCACAGCAATTATGACAAAATCTCACACAAATTGTTAATATTTTTACATGATTCTGGATAAACAGGGATGTAACCTGGAACTAGTCTGAGTGGCGGAGGCAGACAATAACAAGGAGGTGATTATAGTTTCACATAAAATGGAGCATCGACTATTCAAGGTTCTATTTTTGTGAAACTGATCAAGAGTGAAACAAAAGTTTAGATGAAAATAATCCAGAAGAGGAACTAACCACACCCAACAGTGATGTCACAGTGTACTGACGCACCCTGGGGTACACTGCTACATCACTGCAGCGAGGTGAGAAGTTCAACCACTAGGGGGCAACAAAGACAAGCTTTTCACCTGCTGTTAAGTTGATTATTAAGAAGAATATTGTTGAGGATTCCTCAAATTAAAGACTGTAAGTGAAACACATTCATGGGGCGTTATTGGTAATAAATTGAGCTGGTTAGCAACTGTACCTACTTTACTTGAGAATGGCAATCATGAACCTGTGAGGATCTGCATTTTGTCATTTAAAGATTAGCTTTCCGCTCCACAAGAAAAAGAGCCACACTTACATTTCACTTTCCATACGGTCAAAAGAAAGAAGAGAGTAACAAATCCAAGTCTGAATTTCATCTGTTTTCTCTTTGTGTCTGGCCAGTGCCTCAGACAGGCCCACGCACATGATGAATGACCCCAGAAGATGATAAACAATATGAAATCTTTCTCCTGAACATGAATCTTTTCATCTCTTTCCTCAGTCTCGTCCCCGTTCTACTTCTTTTTTAACTTTCTTTCTGCTGAATTTCACTGTTCTCTCTCTCTCTCTCTCTCCCTCCCTCCCCGTAGTGTCGACAGGCCCTCTGTTCCCAGAATGCCCTCCAACGAGAGCCGGGCTGAGGAGAACCCGTACGACTTTAGACACCTGCTGAGGAAGACCTCGCAGAGACGCAGGCTCATCAAACAGTACTGAACACTGGACTGAACTTCACCTTTTTTTTTAGCCACTCGGCACGACCCGAAGCATCACACACACACACACACACACACACACACGCCATGTTGACAATGGATCATCAAATATCATTGATTCATGATTCGTCACAGCTTCTTTTAAAACATTTTGAAACTGTTTAGTTAGGGGGAAATAAAAGGCACTGACTGCACTGATTTAATGCAGCATAGACAGGATGACGGCACGTGTAAATAATAAAATGCTCCGCCCCTTTTAAACTTGCTGTAAATTAAAGTTTTATTTATGTAATTTGTAAACTAGACGTTGCTATTTTTTGCTTATTTCGCTGTATCAACTTCCTTTCCTTTTTGGCTATTGTGTGTGTGAGGTTGAACATATCCATTTTAAACACCTGATGTCATTTTATAATGAATATAGATCATGTAAATATGCAGGTCCTGCGCTCACACTTGACCACTTTGCGTTTTCAGTCCTTTCTGATGAGCGCATCTTTGGGAAATCGGCCTCAGTGTTGTCATGTTGTAAGAAATTGTACATTGTTTTCTCTGCTGTGATCACCTGGTTTTGTTCATTTCAAAATAAAACATCATCAAATTCCATCAAATGATGTTGCCTCCGTGCAACGCGAGATCCCTCCTCCTTAACTCATATTCAAGCTTTTTCTTTTTTTTTTTAACTGTAAATATTTCAATTTTGTCGAGTAAAAATAACGTTCAAGATAACAACAGGGGCAAACAGAATCAGCTGTGTCATGTTTATCAAACCACACTAGTAAATTCCTCTTTGTATCATCCTCTTTTTCTTTGGGATTCAACCTCTGACCTTTAAGTGGCATTTTAGAGGAGGAAACCCCCACAGGGAGTGTTGGGCTGACTGCACACACTGGCCCAAAAACCACACGCACAACCGCATAAATCCTGACTCAAAAAAACAAGAGAGCATTAGGGATATGCTCCATCCCATCATCCAGTAGGTGGATAATATATATATATAATATTTAATATATATACATTTTTTACTTTAGATCTTTAGAGAAAAATATTAATATATAAAGGGAAAATCCAAAACTACACCAAAGGCTGAGCCCATTATAGAGAACAACACATACTGTAACTCCATATACAAATATTATGGTTTTGCCAAAGGGGGTCCTGGTTATTTTAATCACTATTTCTGGCATGACATGGTTGGTGGTGATTGCCTCCATGAATCATAACAGATGTGGCTCAGTGTAGTTTTCATGCCTGGAGGCTGCATTTGCTCTCATTCTGGAATAAACGATAAAAAATGAATAAATAAAAAGAAAATTTGCAGAAGGTGACTGGTGGATTTTAATGTCGTGATATATAATGTGAGGAAATAGGTTATGATATATCTAAAATATCCAAAGTCTACAAACCAGGGTCCATTCAACAACAACAACAACAACAAAAGCAGATCTAAGGAGTATGTTCGTTTTATTAATGGATGAAATGTTTAGTAAGAAAGTGGTGCAACAAAACACCACAGTAAGTAAAACAAAGAAAACTACTATAAAATAGTTTTGGAGAAACGCGCCTCAGCACCGACGAGGAGAGAGGAGAGACCCGTGCGCGCGCTCTCTCCTCCTCGCCGCCCCGCTGCTTCCTCCACCGGAGGCGGGCAATTAGAGCAGCCGGTCTCCAAGAAATAGGTCTGCGATTTGCCGGGCAGATGAATTGGTTGGCATTCACTGTCTGCATGGAGGCAGTGAAGTTCAGCAGCAGCAGCATCAGCAGCAGCAGCAGCACGCATGCAGGGGGTGGGGGTGGATGGAAGGGGTTGGGTTGTGTTGGAGGGGCGGGGGGGGGCAAAATGTTAGGGGATGTTTGAAGCCTATGTATATGGAGTCACGACGTACGACGCAACGGAGTTCGTCATGACCTGAAGTGAATCACGACAGGATTTCTACAGTGACGTGAAATTTAGGTTACATGCAATTAGGCATGGCTCAGCCCGCGCGCTGCATATTCACCAGCAGCTTAAACAAAAAACAAAAAAAAACAACCTCTTCCTGGTTTTTTGCGCTTCTTTTTTTTTTTTTTTAATGTAAACTGTATATTTCTTTTCCCGCCCTGAACTTGCTCAGACTATCTTACAATCTGTTTTTCTTTCTTTCTTTCTTTCTATGAAGTGCGGAGAGCGGCTGCATGCGCTCTGCGTGGACGCGCTGACAGGAGTGCGCCGGTGAAGTGGAGCGCGTTTGCGGATTTCTCTTTGGAAGACGCCGCTTCATGCTTCGTGCACCTGTGGACGCCTGCACACGCTCACACCAACAGGACGCCTTTTAAAAAAAAAAATAAAAAAAATCATTTTTTTTTTCTTAAATTTTTTTTTCCTTCTTCATATCCACGAGCCGTTTTATTTTTAGGGGGCTCTCTCCAGCTGCATAAAGCGCTGTGTCGGATGCGCGGCTGGATTTTAAGCAGCCTGGTCAGATTCAGCACCACATCAGCTTTGAACGGCTCCCTGTCGCCGCGTGTGGATGGGCTCTGTCGGTCTCCGTGTCTCGTGCAGCTCCTAACTACCGGCAACAATGGCATCACACGGTTTTTGGTCTCTTGGCGGAGATAATACTGGGGCCAATACCGGGAGTCAAAGCCCCAGTACGCGTGAGTGGCTTTATTTATTTATTTTTTTGTCTTCATGGAAGCGGGCGCAGCGCTGTATTGCCTTCGCATTGTCTGCAAAGCCCGCGTGCCTTGTTTTTTGTTTTGCTTTTTTTGGTGTTAACATGATGCCACCGAAACAACCAAGCAGGCCTGCTGTATTTAGAGTCACACTCACAGGGTTGTTTTTGATGCCAAGTTGCATGTTTTCTATCTTAAAGTTGGGACTGAACCCTCATCATCCTCCCCCATTTCCCCCCTCTCTCTCTCTCTCTCTGTGTCTCTCTGTCTCTCTCTCTCTCTCTCTCTCTCTCTCTTCCAGCCTCCGCTTGGTGCCAAGCGGCGGCCCAGAAATTATCCGGAGGAATTGGATCGAAATTATGTGGTATGTTGGTTCACACAGGGAGTGAGGCTGGGGAGGGGAGGGGGGGCGGCGAGCGTTGATAGATGGATGGAGGGCTATTTGGGCGACGCTCCTTTTTTTATCCCCATCATTATAGGCTATATTTATTGAACCCGGCCTCGACGGTAGAGTAATAACAATAATAGTAATAAACAGAGAGAGAAAAAAAATATATCTCAATGCTGTTTTGTGGTTTTCGAAAGCGCTGCTCAATGTCGGGGAGGTGGAGAAACCCGGCGAGTCGGCCGCCAAGCAGCCGCCGCAGACGACTGCCTCCAACTGCGGCTGCAACAAATCCTGCAACTGCACCAAAGCTGGCGTCGCCTTCTCCGACCTCTATTCAACAGGTACAAACACCAGACACACATGGACGGGCTTCATTTATTCAGTGTAATAAAAAAAAAGAAAAAAAGAAGACACGCATACACACAAATAAGTCATTGTTTTCAGTATGATTTTTAAATAAATGAAAATTAGCAGCAGAAGCATTTTGCAAATCTTTATTTTTTTCTTTCTAACGTTGATTTAAACGATTTAAGCGATTTTTCTTTCTTTATTCGTTCCCACGTGCATTAAAATACATGTTCAATATGAGAAATGAAATATAAAACAGCCCACAGAACACGTGTGTGTACGGATGGGATAATTATCTGTGATCTAGACATCTGGATTGATCAGATTGAGTGATGTTATGAGGAGTATTTCGGAGAGGTCACCTTCAACAAAATTTGATCTGTTGAGCTTCGCAAGAGGGAAAAAAAATCACCTGAGCTGTTAAAATAATAAGAAACAGTCGTGTTTTGGTGTAATTCTACATGTGTAGGCCTGTGGGATCATTTCACAGCTAAACTCGTCTCGTGGCCTACAAATCTGCATTTTAATGATGCATGAAAGCAGCTTTTTATTCCCACTGATGCACGAGTCCAAGTCCAGAAACATGAATCTTTATTTATTTATTTTTCTTTTTTAATTTGTTTTTTTTTCTCAGACCTGTTACCTGCCATGGACGGTGACACCAAAACAATGACCTTCCTGCAGGAAGTGGTGGATATTTTACTGGCCTACATCGTGGAGTCTTTCGACCGGGATACCAAAGTGATTGATTTTCACTATCCAAACGAGCTGCTGCAGATGAACAACTGGGAGCTGCAGGAGGAGCCCGCGACTCTGGATGATATCTTGATCAGCTGTCGCGCTACCCTGAAATACGCCATCAAGACAGGTAGGCCTGACTCTCAGTTTCTGATAGAAGCTAGTTTTATATATATATGGCCTGCTTATTTTAAACGCGCAAAATCCACTTAAATATTTTCTACTTTAACACATAAATATAAAAATACCCCCCCCCTCCCCTTTTTTTTTAAAGCTGCATCTTGTAGGTGCACGAGGCCTAGACTCAGGCCTGCTCTATATGTCTAACTAGAAGCTTCAAATATCATTATATTGAATATTTAAAAGAATGTAAATGGTAATAACACAGAGATGTTGCAACACCTAGGCTAATGACATAATAATGATAATAAAAAATAATAATTAATAATAACATGCACTGAAGTTTGAATTGGCAAATCAAAAAAGGTTTTCAAATGACTTTTCTATAGAAGGATATCCTCCAAAACTGCACATACTGAAGACAGAATAAAACAAAGAAACTAAGAGAAAATAATCTGCTTTAAAGAAAGAAAGAAAGGAAAAAAAGGGGGGGGGGGAAAAAATGATAAATGATGCCTATGTAAAAAAAAAAAGAAAGAAAAAATCCGGCTGGAAGTTGTCCTTGTTTTCCTCCTCCTGACCATCAGACCAATAAACGCAGTGACGCAGTAAATCTGGTTCACCAAGTGGGAGATAATAGGCTAATAACCTGCCTTCATGGGTCCATTATTCTCTGCTGACTGACACAGGCAGGAGGAGATTTACAGCCACAGCACAGCAAAGACCCCCCCCCCCCAAAAAAAACAAAAAAACAAACAACAAACAAACATATATTAATCTTTTTGGAAATGTTTTACACACTAATTTATCATTTATAAGCAGTTTATAAACAATAACCACATTATGGTGTAGTTGTTAGCAGATTTATTATTGTGCAGTGTTTATAACTTCTCCTATGAAAACATATTCAATATTATTACGTGTGTTTTACTATATTATCATGTTTATGCACCAGCCACAGGACTTAACGTTTATATGCTGCTCCTAAATGTTAAATATAAGGGGTTAGAGAGAAATGTTATGTTGCATATTCTCTATGACATAAAATACATGAGAAATTCAAATAAGCAGCCATCATGAATCAGACTTTGACGTCACCTATTTTTAAAAAAGATATTGAATTCATTTCAGAAGCTGTGTTATAAAAAACAAAAAACAAAGGCGTGTTTACCCTCCTCCAAATTCCTCCATTAAACCACGTCACATCAAATCTTCTCATCATTTCTCAAGACGATTTAAAAAAATGTCACTGCAGCTGCATTTCTCTCCTCCAATTAAAGTGTTTCCATGATGACAGTTTCTTTTTGCACAAACGCACAAAAAGCACTTTTTCAATTTTCCCTGAAACCAAGATAAAAATAAAGAAATAAAGAAATAAATAAAAACTCCCACATTTCACACCCTTATTTATTTATTTTATTTTACTCCTTGTCATTCAGCCCACCCCAGGTACTTCAATCAGCTCTCTACAGGATTAGACATGGTTGGCCTGGCAGCCGATTGGCTAACGTCCACCGCCAACACCAACATGTAAGTGTGCTGCCTGCTTCACCGTGATTTTAAATGATCATGACAATGAATTCCATTTCCGGTCCGTCCGCCTGCACTCTGCTCTGTGTCTGCGCCGGCTGATAGCGGCCTGTTTTTTTTTTTTTTTCCTTTCCACTCAATCATGGCAAATGAAAAGGGTGAAATGAAAGACCCCCCCCCCGCCCCCCCCCCTCCTTTCCCCCAACTGCACCCCTCCCATCTCTGCTGCCTTTTATCCCTCCCCCCTCACCTCCGTTCTCCCATGGGGGATTCAAGGGGAGAAAATTAGCTCTGAAATTAAATTCAGACTAATCTGGAGCTAATTTCAGTGTGTGTGTGTGTGTGTGTGTGTGTGTGTGTGTGTGTGTGTGTGTGTGTTTTTGGGGTGATAAACTCAGCGAGCGTCAGTCTTGGCAACTGTCACACACTGCAATGGAAACCTCATGTTGACACTTGGGTTTTTGAATTTACTGCAGCTAATACACCATGTAGTCTACTAATAGAAAAAATATCAGGAGGAACAGACTGGAAATGTGGAAATGTGCAACGGAGAGCGTCACATGTAGGAAAACAAATTATTTAACTGTTATTCATTTGTATTAATTTTTTGTTTCAGAAGCATCACTGCAATATAAGATCTTTTTTTTTTCCAGAAATCAACAATAATTCCACATTTTTAGCTTCAATCATCAATTTCATCTCTAAATCTGTCCTGAGTAAAAAGGCTATTTTGCACTGATGAGTCATGGCGCATTTTTTTGTGTAGCCCCACCCCCTTCCCCCAACTCCATGTGATGTGATGTCCCCTTGTGTAACGCAGGTTCACCTATGAGGTGGCGCCCGTCTTTGTGCTGCTGGAATACGTCAGTCTGAAGAAGATGAGGGAGATCATTGGTTGGCCCGACGGCCGAGGAGATGGCATTTTCTCCCCCGGTACGTACGTTTGTATGTGAAGGCGTCGCCAATCCCCCCCCCCCCCCCCCCTCCCCCCCCCTTCCACACACCTCCCCTCTGTTTCAATGAAAATGGAACTGCCTTGTATAAGTGTGTTGTGTGTGTGCTGTAATGTGTCAATTTGCATTTTGATGGTATAAATGGAACTCATTTCAAAGCCAATTAGCATAAAATAATTTTCTTTTTCCAACTTATAAGCCCCCTTCCCTCCCTCCCTCCCTCCCTCCCTCCCTCCCTCCTCTCCACAATCTTTACTTTCTCCCATGCATTTCTGGTTGTCACATGATGAGGAGGAGCAGTGATTGGAGAATTTAATGACAGACTGTGATTGGCTGTGACATTGTGGTGCCATCGCCTCATACGCTGTAAACAGAGGATTTCATTGTCGTCGTTGCATCGTCTGTTTCTCTTCATCTTAAAAACATGCAACGCACGTTTCTCCGTGCCGGTTAAAAAACCCCTGCGTCACTCCCGTGAGACTTCAGCCAGTTGAGGCTGTGACGTGGGGGGGCTGACACTGACTGACTTGACTGCCCGAGTGGCCGTAAATCACTGAGCCCTGTCTGTCCTCTAGGTGGTGCTATTTCTAACATGTACGCCATGCTGTTGGCCCGCTTCAAGATGTTCCCTGAAGTGAAGGAGAAAGGAATGTCATCTGTTCCCAGACTGGTGGCCTTCACGTCCGAACACGTAGGCATCTGTGCTCCCATATTTCCACCCTGCATTATCAATGTGTGTCTCAAAGGATCAAATAATAAACTCTGATCGCTACGGGCAACACAACCAGATGTCAAAGGTCTTCTTCTCCAGCGCAGGAATAACAGAAAATGTCATGTAGCTACTGTAGCGGTGGCTGTGCTCGGTGTGTGTGTGTGTGTGTGTGTGTGTGTGTGTGTGTGTGTGTGTGTGTGTGTGTGTGTGTGTGTGTGTGTGTGTGTGTGTGTGGGTATTTAAAAGTGACTTTCACACCAGCGGCGCTGATATGAAGCTGACAGTCGGTTTTATGTCACTTCCTTCATCTTTAAAGGACGTTTGAAAGACGCTGTGAGGAAAGAAAAGCCTTTAAATAACATAATTATTATTATTACATATTTATAGATTTCTTTTCTTCCACTCCTATGATCTCTGCTGTCTTACACATATTTAAACATGATCTCTTTTTTATCTTTCAGAGCCATTTTTCAATCAAAAAAGGTGCAGCAGCTCTCGGCATTGGGACTGAGAGTGTGATCTGCATCAAAGCAGATGAAAGGTAAAGTCGGACTTTTATCTGAGCCTTTTTTAAAAATGAAAAGTAAAACATTAGAAGTCAATATATGAATTCCATACTTTGGTTTTTCCGTTTGTTTCGGAAGCATTGCAGCAGCTGTAGTCACTCTGCAGATGCAGCTCTCACCTAAGACGACGTGTGAGAAGCGTATGTTTAAAACAACGTGTTGTTAAAGATTAAACAAGTATATAAAGTATATAAAGTAGAGCCTACAGGACGTCCTCTCTCAACCTTCAGATGTCTTTGTGAAAAAGTAAAACGCTGTTTACACGTTGATGCATCCGTTATTACTCTAACAATGTCGTATATAATGACGTATCGCTCACAGGGGCCGTTTATTCCAGAATGATTACTTCAACCTTTTGTACTTAAAGTACATTTTGCTCATAATATTTCTGATGAATTCACAAACAAGTCAAGATGCAACTGAATATTGATTTTCATTCACGCAGTGGTAAAATGATCCCAGCCGACCTTGAGAGGAGAATACTGGAGGCCAAACAGAAGGTAACGTGATAACGCCTGTAACACTGCTGGATAGACAGGTGTTACTTCATTATATCTGCATCAGCAGCTGCTTTGTGTGCGCTCATGTTTTTGTTTTGGTTTTTTGTGCGTTGACGCAGGGTTTCGTACCTTTCTTTGTGAGCGCGACTGCCGGAACGACGGTGTACGGAGCCTTTGACCCTCTCATCGCCATTTCTGACATCTGCAAGAAGTACAACATCTGGATGCACGTGGACGTGAGTAAGATAAGAAGACCTCAATGTGTGGAGAAAAATCAACATTTCCCTCCGTCACCCAGGAGGCGTTTTAGTGAAGAAATACACAGAAATACGGAGCTCGCCAGTGAGTTTGACAAATCTATTATGTCTGTCTCGCCTCTAACTGCTTTCAGTTGACCCAGATAGGAGCTAGCCATTTCCTATCTAACACTGGAGATTAGAAAAAGTGGAACAGAGGCTGTAAATCATCTCCTCCCCTGACTTTGCCATCATGGCCTCTCTCACTGAAGGAGCTCTATCTATTAATGAAGGTGATTTAGTCCTGACAGGGGGACACATCTATTAAGAGGCATAGATGGCCTTGTCTGTCGTTCCTCAAGCAGCTGAGATGGAGGGAAAAAACATATCCTGCTTTTAGAGTATTTGCGGCTCCTGCTGCTTCTGTCGGCATATGTGGATTGTGTATGTGTGTGTTTGCGGATGCAGCTCACCTCCCGAAATGTGTGTTTTGTGGCCTCCTGAAGCTGCAAGCCGGCGACGTTTGCATCAGTGTTTAGAATGAAGAGGCCGACGTTAGTTCTGCAAAAGAAAGACGTAAGAATCAGAATCTCCCCAAAGCCTCTGATGGAGTTTACATCATTATGCAAAACCAAAAGTCCTAAAATAACTATAATAATAATAATAAGATGTAGAAAAACAGATTTAAAAACAGTTTAAAGGTTGTACAACATTGGGGAGGAGATATAAATTAATCTAAATATGATAAAAGATTTAAGGAGTAAGAAGAAGAAAATAAAGTTTTTGTGAATAGTTTATTGCAGGTTATGGAGAAAACATCTCATATAAAAGCCATAAGTGTCTCCGTTACATAGTTTGTCCACTAGAGAGCGCTGGCAAAATGTCCTATACAGTCTATATTGTGTTCACAGTTTCATTAAACAAACAAAGGCCACAGCTTTAATAAAAGTTTACCCTCAAGCTGATACTGTAGGTGCGTGAGGTTCAAGTGCACACGGACCCAAACGCAAGACCTTTGAGTTGTATTTAACGTGTCACATGGATGATTAACACGTGTCTGTCCTGTTAGGGCGCGTGGGGAGGGAGTCTCCTCATGTCCAGGAGACACAGGTGGAAGCTGGACGGAGTTGAGAGGCAAGTGTCTTTGTAAGAAAGCTGAGGAAGAAGCTCAAGAGGGTTTTTAAAATAATGATGCATGACGGTTGTTTTTTTTTTTGTTTTTTGTTGTTATCTGCAGAGCTAATTCAGTGACATGGAACCCACACAAAATGATGTCAGTCCCTCTGCAGTGTTCTGCCCTGCTGGTCAGAGAGGAGGTACAGCGCACGTGTCCTCTTGGTTTCCGCTCAGGTGTTAATTTGCGGCTCGTTATCTCGGCTCTAATCGCTCTGAATCTCAATCCCCTCGGCAGGGTCTGATGCAGAACTGCAACCAGATGCACGCCTGCTACCTGTTCCAGCAGGACAAACACTACGACCTGTCCTACGACACCGGGGACAAGGCGCTGCAGTGTGGACGCCACGTGGACATCTTCAAGCTGTGGCTCATGTGGAGGGCCAAGGTGAGGGGAAAGCGCTGGTGATCACGCCTTTTAAGAGCGAGGTTAGGTTGTTGTGTGACGTCAGCCTTTTGTGTTCAGAGTTAACCAACAGCAACACGCCGCTATTTACAAAGGTAGTAATGTACGAGAACCAATGTGCAGGAGTTAATGTGATATTTTGAGAGGCAGGTGAGTTTTGTTTTCTAAGATGCGAAACTTGGAAGATCAATATTCCAAAAACATCTGAGAATAGATACAAACTTTATGATACTAATGTCACAAGTTGCAAAAATACCTTCAGTTTCTTCTGAACATAATATTTATGAGGATAAACACATGATTCCAACGGCGTAGGTTTGGACTCAACATATGATCTGTATTTACCTGTATTTACCATTTAAATGAAAACTATAGACGGTAACAGATCAAGGATTGAAAGAAAGCAAACTTTAGGGAAATTACTCATTAACGAAAAAGAGAGAAAAACAAACAGCTTTAACACATTTGAATGATTTCTTGGACAGGGCACCATCGGGTTCGAGGCTCAGATCGACAAGTGTCTGGAGCTGTCCGAGTACCTCTACAATAAGATCAAGGACCGAGAAGGATACGAGATGGTCTTTGACGGGAAAGTACGTTCATATTTAACTCTTCTCTCTCTCTCTCTCTCTCTCTCTCTCTCTCTCCCTCTCTCTCTCTCCACACGAGGATAATTCATCCACAGCCACATAATCAGAGAGAAGTGGCGAACATTAGTCCGTGTTGCTCCTTTCACTTCAGTGTACTCCGTGTCATTATGGGTGACTTGATTGGCACGCGGGGTGCTCTTGCTTTGTGTTGGATGAATGCCATTTTTACCTCTAGCTGCCAGTATAATGTGCTGCTATTATGCTTAATGAATAGCATAACGGCCTGTAATTGCTCATCTGCATATGAATAGTATGATGTCTGAAATATCCTCCGTCGAGCAGAACTACAACAACAAAAACATATGCCGGCATGACGGGGTTATTAAGCTAAAAACTCTTTTATAATAGGAGCGCTTGGACACCCAGAGACATTTCTAGTGAACGCTCTTTAGTGTTTTCCAGGGTTATTGTTTTTTCTCGCTGAGCTACAAAAGGCTAAGAGCATCATAACGCAGAGGGTGACGGGGAAAAAGCAGAGTCCTGTGGACATCATCCCAGGTGTTCCCTTGTCAGTGCTGCCCATTAAGCCTTTACATCAATCTGATGTTGAATATACTGCCGCCTGAAAACAGCCCCGGCTGTATAAAAGAGGCTGGTGTGCATCGCTAGTCAGCTGTTGGTAATGAGCTGGCAGCTCGGCTCCAGACGCCAAAAATAAAAAACAGAGCTGTGAGGTGCTTTCAGCCACAGAGAGAGCGGGTTATCGGAGTTATCTGAGCATCAGGCAGGCTACCTGTCTGACGCCTGGAAACACCCAAAGGATTTTCTTTTTCTTTTTTCTTTTCTTTTTTTGTTTTGAGATGTGAATTGCCATTTTCATTTTCTTGCTTGGTGAGATGGATGGGCGTCTGTCACGTATATCGTTTTGTGATTCGGAGGAATCTGTAGGATTTCAGGCAAAGACGGCTTTACTTTTTTATTTATTTTTTAAATGACACGGCTGTGTGTACAGGTATGTGTATTTACCACACACGTATGTTTATGTGTATGTAATGTATGGCGTGTGCATAGGGCTGGGTGATGTGTTTGAATAATAACAATTCTCCAATACTGCTGTATATCACGATAGAGGAAATCTATACGATTATTACTGTGTCAATCAATCAAACTTTATTTGTATAGCACTTTTCATACAGGTTAGTGCAGTTCGAAGTGTAATATGTAATATGGGTTTGTGTGATTGTAGCATCTCCTAGCTTAAAGCTGCATTACTACTAGATGACGCTGACGTGAGCGGCGGGACTCAATCAGAACATTAAAGCTGCAGCTGTAGAAACAGTAAAATAGTATAATAGTAAAGTAGTTTGTAAACACAGAGCTGTTGAGTCATTTGATGCATTTTAGGTACAAAAATATTGATTAAAGCAGCTTTAAACATTTAACTAATTCTAATTACAATGTGCTTTAAATGAAGAAGTCACGATTTACTCTAATTTCTACGTGATTATAGCATCTTTAACATTATTCTGATAGCTTAAGTATATTTATCTATATCCCGTTAAATATGCTACGACCACTGGGGGGCACCACACATAGTGGCTTTAATTTTAAAGAGAGAGAACTCTGTAAAAACAGCAATCATCCCCTCATGGTATCATTCCAGTTAAAGTCAGCAACATTTAATTATTTCCTCGGCTCCCGACACGTGCATATTTTTGCTTTCCTGTTACTCTGGCGGTTTACTCCTCTCATCTCTCGTCGCCTGTGTGTGTGTGTGTGTGTGTGTGTGTGTGTGTGTGTGTCCCCTCCTGCAGCCTCAGCACACCAATGTCTGCTTCTGGTACCTCCCTCCCGGGATCCGCTACATGGAGGACAAAGAGGAGAGGAAGAAACACTTGCACAAGGTGGGTGAGCAGCGATAAGAAGCCAAGGCTGCGGTATCTACCAAAAAAACACCTTTCCACGTTCCCCTAACAAGCCTTTTTTATTTCTATCCAGCTTGACCGTTACATGTCCTCCTCATTAGGGACGCTCAGGATTTGGGAAAAAAAAAACAAACTTTGTGACAGTCTTGAAACAGTTTCGACTTGTCAGGGAGGAAGGATATCACGTGCCAGACTCGGAGGGAGTGAGGCTGTTCAGTCAGCTAAAGTGACGGCCGTTCAGAGGAGCCCACAGCAGCAGCGGGGGCCTACTAATTGACAATTAGGACAAACAGATGGTGTGCGTGCCTGCCATACAAAAGAGCTCTCCCCTCTCTGATTTCCTTCTGTAAAACCATCAACCTATAAATCGTTACCATCTTTGTCATAATCCAGCAGAGGGAGAGGTTTTCCTTTTGTTTTTCTGAGTCTGATTGAAAGAGCACCCCGGTCACGCTTCACTGGCCCGGGTGTTCGGCCGGTTCGCTCTTTTCCACAGACACCAAGATGGAGGGATGATGTAACGCTGCCGGATTAGCACTTTGCCGGGAAAAAAAAAAGTCCAAACTTGAAGGAGCTTTCCTCTATTTCCACACGGCCTTTTGACGACTCTTTTCGAAAGAGACGAGGAAGAACTGGGAAACTGTCGGGAAGACTGAAAAAAATAAAAAATAAAAATCTGCAGCTGCTGACTGATTATTTCAGAGAACCTGCAGACGCAGCCAGCTGCAGCGGGACACGTGCAAGAGATTTAGAGGAAATGACTGATTATGTGATGAGAAGTATAGAGCGCGAGCCGCAGCGCTGCAGCCTCTATATACACGGCTAACTACTTCTGCAGACTGTTATTGTACAACTGAAACTGAAAGCCAACTTCTGCTCCTCCAGGAGTTTTCAACTTCATATCCTCAAATGTATTAAAACTCTTTCTACATTATACTGGACTTTGAGATTATGAGTCACAGTTAAGCTAAACCCTTAAGCCAAAGCTGCAGTAACGTGTCATCTTAAGTTACTGAATCTTATGTGCATATGCATGAAGTTGATTAGGGGCTGCAATACTGCACCAAGTGCGGTAATTTCTAATTTCTAACTTGCTTTTTACATATATCACCAAAATAACATACACAAGCCGCAGGAGGATATTTCAGAGACACTTATTTTGAAGTGTTTTTCCTCAGTAAAATGTCTTAATAGGTCGGTGTTGCTGAGAGTTGAAACTTGTAATTGAATCTGCCACAGCTCGTCACAGCACAGAATCCACTCCGCCATCAAGACACTGCTGAGCACCGAATAAATGACTGTCACTGCTCCCTGAAGATAACCTCTCAGCTCAGCAGCAGCAGCAGCAGCAGCAGGGACTGCGTGTTCCCGGCTGGTGTCAGATGTAGACGTCAAACTACATGCAGCAGCTTCAGACTGATAGTCTGAGGGGAAGATGGTACAAGTTTAGTTGCTGAAAAAGAAAACCAAAAAAAGAGAAAATACAACCGTTCTTTCCGAAACTAGAAGTGCAAAAAAAATAAATTATTTTTATTTTTTAAAATGTATGATTGTTCTCCTCTGAAGCAGCGTTAACTCCTGCTGAATGTATCGGCTCTTTCCAGGTGGCCCCGGTGATTAAAGCCAGGATGATGGAGTACGGGACGACCATGGTCAGCTACCAGCCGCAGGGGGACAAGGTCAACTTTTTCCGCATGGTGATCTCGAACCCCGCTGCTACCTTCGAGGACATCGACTTTCTTATCGAGGAGATTGAACGACTCGGCCAAGATCTATAAGACTCGTCTCACCAAGTCCTCCTGTACTCCCCCCACCCCCCCCACCCCCACCCCTTGACGGATGAATTGTTTGTCGTGAATGTACTGGTAAACTTTTTCTTTTCTTTTCTCTCTCTCTTTCCTCCAAAGTCACATATTTAAGAGTATATTTGAGAAAAAAAAAAAAAGATCTACAGATATATCCATATATTATGTATTGTAGCTTTGCCGTGGACCGACTTGGTCCAAAGCTATGTAAAAGTGCTTCTGTCTGCTTTTCCTATAGTGCAGTAGCCCCCAGAGTAGTGTAAGTGATGTAACTTTATATGTACTTTTTGTGATATGAAATGCTTGTGCAATAGGTCGATGAGGAGGAGTTTGTTTTCAAATCATTTTCTCATTTGCCGGGTCTGTTGTTAAGTGCCAAACGTGGTTGTGTTCTATTGTAACTTTCAATTTTAAACTTCTGGTTTAAAACTTAAAACTTAAAAAAAAAAAAAAAAGAAGCACTTCACCTTACCTCAGCTTAATCAACTGCCTTCTAACATCTGCACATAGTCCTTTCAAGCAGTGATTTTCGGGACGAATTCTCATACAGTATACCAGCACATGTTGAAAAAAACCACCCGCAACCAGAGCAGGCTGCTGTATGGATTTGGAGATATTTACAAGAAAGTTACAGCAAAGTCAACTCCAAGCATGAATGAAGGCATGTTGGTCCACCATGCATCACCTTGGCCTTTGACGCTTGTTCAATCCAGTTTTGTTTGTCGTGTCACCAGCTGTATGCAGAGATCAAAACGGAGCGTCATTTCCAACCAAGGCTGTATATTTAGCTGTGCTGAGTGTGCTTTACGTGTCATAATGAGGATAATCAGCGCTTCAGAGGTAACGTTAAGTTACAATCCTTGAGATTTTCTTCGGCGAAGTTCGCCTTTCCCGTTGGGGATTCGAATTGCATTCCCTCGCACACATGGGTTCAGTGGAAAAACGCAGCAAACACAAACTATAGAAAAGAAGACTAAAGATGTTACGTGTTTACTTTTAATCGTATGCAGAAGACAATTTGATCATGAGGTCAGTATTATTTCTAATGACGGCCCTCTTTAGCCTTCTTTTTTAAGGCGCAATAAATACTCTCAGCCCGGGGTTTGTTTTGTTGCGAGCAGGTACACAGGCGGCGTCATGGAGCGCTGCAGGAATGAGTCGTAAAAACCTGGAAATAAGTTAGCTTTTCTTATTTTAGTATCTTATCTTTCTGAACCAAACATAGAAGTATCATGAACTTTTTTTTGACACAGATTTTATTTTTTGCAATAATGGGAAGAAAAAAAATCCCATTGGCTTTTAGTCGAGGTAACCAGGGTGATGCTAACTTCCAGGTTGCTAACTTCCCTGCAGCGCACTATGAAGAGAGCTGAACACCTTGCTCCAAGATGCCGCCACATGCACAATGTGTGAGTGTTTTATCGCCTTCAGGAAAAACGTAGTTCATCTCTCCACAGCCGTTGTTTTAGTAGTTTTAGGACCAGTGGGCATCAAAAGACCTGTAGTACCGACTGTGGCCACTAGTGTCCACTATTATCAAGACACTCTTGTCTCCAAATCAACCAGGACTAAAAATCTTAATGATTCTAACTTTAAATGAGCAAACCTCTCATCTGTAGTTCTTACGTAGAGAGGCCATGTTTTTGGAAGAGCACTTACTGAAAGATCGAGGATCTTGAGAAACCGGGAGCGGGGCAATAATCGTTTTATTTGGATATAGAAACGTCACCAGATTTGCAGCTACTGCATACCTGACATCACTTGCACTAAATCATCTGCAGGAGGAGGAGGAGGAGCATCCCTTAGCATTGCAACTGAGATTTCCTCTGTAATTCATTCACAAGCAATATTCCAGTATGGGTCCAATCTGTATACCCTGCAAAATATCAAAAAGGAACGGTGAATTCAAGTGTACAGTAGTTAACGATAATCAAGTCTCCAGACCAAATGCACAGTAGTTAGCAAAAAAAAAAAAAGAAAAAAAGAAAAGAAGTAAAAAGATGCTTACTGTAGGCAGGTTAGTTGATGGATCGTGAACCCTGATTTAACACGCAGAGGTTCTGTAGCATTTTCATTAGAACACGTTAGAAAAGCACAATTTGCTCAACATGGTCGGTCAGTGTACAATCACTTTTGATCATAGATTGTAAATAGTATTTCAAGATGTCCTAAGTACATATCTTTGTGTATACATACGTGTATATAAGACATATAACCAGAGACTATTTGTGAGGTAAAGTTATTCATATTTTCTCTATCTCTGATATAGATTAACTTGTATTTTCATCCTGTTAGTCCAAAAAGGCTTTTTTTTTTCTTTTCTTTCTGTATGTGTGTACGTACGTACGTATGTATGTATGTATGTATGTATGTATGTATGTATGTATGTATGTGTGTGCATGTCACACACGCGGTTCGGTTTGTGACTCTTCTAGCTATTTCAAAGAAAATGTGTTTCAGGGACTGGCTTTAAAGAAACTGACAGATTTCACCTTGAAACACTCGCAAGTCTCACTCACAGAGACGAACAGTGAGACTCAGGCGTGTGGATTTTAAATGTATATGCAAAGCCATTTTAACTCTGAAGCCCTGTGTGTGTTTTTCTGTGCACAAGTGATACTTGACGGTATGTGCCAACGTGTACCTTAGTGTGTTTGTAACTGTGTTGCCTTAGTATAAATTTGCCAGTATTGTCTAGTTTTCCTCCGATGGGGAGGTCGTGCACTTTAGAGTAAAAACACATGACCTAATAACGTGCAATGTCCAATGGTTGTTCATAAGTTGATGTTTAAAAAAATTCTACTCAAAAAAAAGAAAAAAAGAAAATGTAACCTAAGCTCTTTGGTCTGAATGTGTCATGAATCAGGGGTCTGTTGGAAGATGAAAGAATTTGATTTATTTTACTTTTGGCAGTTTGTTGATATAAAGCTTCTTGTTTAACCGTCTTATATCTCAACAGAGAGTAGCCAAGAGTTTTAAAAGTTTAAAGCTCCTATATTAATCCCCCCCCCCCCCCCCCCAAATAAAATTGGCGTACCACACTGTGACACAGACAACATCAGATTTATTAACAGCGACAAAGGAATCTCACTGTGGTAGTCTCGGAAAGCCAGACATTTCGTATCTCTTGCTGCTGCTGCTAGACTTGCTTCCTTTGCACGTGCATGCGATGCCTTGCCTATCCAGCTTGTTTGATATTCAATCTCCTCTATATCTATTTATATATATTTATATATACATATATACAGTACGTGTAGCACCTGTAATTAGCTTTAGTGTCCGATGTATAGCCTAGCCTGTAGATTTAGTGCACTGTCGCTCTAGCCTTTACGTGTGATCTCTGTGTCTTGGGCTTCCTGTAAAAGTTTTCTCCGTGCCGCACAGCATGCTAACCTCGCCTAGCATTGTATACCTCTCCGCGCTTGATCTGACTATCTCTTTCCTCTGTCTTTTCTCTTCTGCTTGAAGACTGTCGCTGCTCAGAACGTAGAGTATTATATCTATATGTGTGTAGTCCCTCAGCATGTCTCTCTCTCTCTCTCTCTCTTTCTCTCTGAAAGCTCTTCTCTGCTTCCGCACCTGTACGACCCTTTTCTCTCTTTCTCTTCCGCTTCGCCCTCTCTGGTAGCAGTGACAACGTATAATCCTCGAACCGCTTTCCTCCAAACGTTTTTCTCTTGGCTACCCGCTGTCGTTCTGTTTGTGTGTCTGAGACGGTTTGTTGGCTCGTGTCATGGTGCCGTTAGCGTCAATGTTTTTGGTTTGGTTTGACCAAGGCCCCTCCTGGACTCTATGGGATGTATGAGAAAGAGATTTAGGTTTGATTGTCCAAAAGCTTGTGTAATGCAGGTGTTGTTGGCCTTTTAACACAGAAATGAAGAAAAAAATGTACCCTGGTTTCTTGCTTACAGGAAATATTGTTTGTTTATGAGAGCAATTAAAACCCCTAGTACTCAGAGTGCAGTTCATTCTCACTAAATATGGTGCAATTTTGAATCATATATTCTGCAAACTGCTGTGCTCGCTTCTCTCAAACATTCATTTGTCCTGAACTATATGTTACTCTTGGGAAAATAGAAATAAATATTGTCAAAACAAAGATGATTTGAATGTGTTTTTTTTTCTTCTTCCTTTGTTATGCTTCACATATCATAACCTCAAAAAAAAAAAAAAACACTTCATACATTTCTGCCTGTCATGGGACACGTGAACAGAAATAAAGTTTAACTGGTTATATAACATGGTGAGAAAAAGTCCTTGAACTGCAAAAGTGGGACATGAAAAGTGCCACTTTGAGAGCGCACTACAAGGTAAGGACGTTTCAGCGCTTATGTAATATTTTACTGACCCCAAGGATCATCGTTTTACTGCCTTTTTGCTTTTAAATGTAAAAAGCAATGCAGACCACCCACACTGCTTGTGTATAATCGAGTACAAACATATTTCATAACCCTGTAGCCAATAATCTTTGTGAAGCTTACTTATATTTTGCTTTATAAAAGAAGATACTGCCTTTAAAAAATAATATATTATTGCTGTAGAATAATACAATATAAAAATAATTAAATAAAAAATGTAAAAGATGCCGTCTGTGCCCCTTCAGTGGAAAATATGATATATATTTTTTTAACAGCATCACTGGCAGGTTACTAACTTCTCTCTAGGTGGCACTGCTCCCCCACAGTTTTCTGTTAAAGGAGCAACAGGGAGTGTGTTTTTTTTAGTTTTTTTTGTAACGCATGTACAGCAAATGTGGCTGAAATCTTTGGCAAATAAAATTTTTTTCCATTATTGTCTCAATGACTTGTTATTTTTACATTTCCCTCTTAATCATTTCTGATTGCAACATCCTTTTAAGTCCGAATGAAAGAAGAAAAAGATGAAAAAAGACATCCCAAAGTATGTGAAAGGCTCCCAGATGGTTTAACTCATCTTTCCCTCTCATACACATACTGATAAAGAGGAAGCTATCACATGGAAATAACCCG